ATTTCTGACTTTGTGATGTCACAGAATGTCCTAGTTCTAATATTTTGAATTTAGGCCTTTTTTTCATGGAAAATAGTTTTTTTGTGTTTTTTTCCCTAAATTTCTCCAGGTTTTGTCATTTTCAGGTTGGATTAAAACCATCAAAGCACCGCCACCATGTTGGACAGTGATGGCTTATAGACATCTATCATCTGCTGTAAATAGGGACGTTTCCACCCTTAAGTTTTTCAGGTTTATACCTTAAATTCTGCTAATAATATCTGGTATTATTAAGCTCGTATTATTAAGCTCATATTCTCCGTGAATCTATGTTTTATTGAGTATTTTCAATTACACGTTTCAGCTCTATTTTTGATTAAAGTAGATTTTCTCCATCAGCTCACCTATCATCTTATGAAGCAGCTGGCTGTTGCCCTTTCCGAAGAGAACGCACAAATCCAGGATTTTAGGAATGTCGAACACAAAGTTGTTGTAGATAATCTCTCCGAACACAGCCGGGGTGATAAAATGTTCCTGTCACAAAGAAAGGAAAAAGAAATGCTAGTTTTATAAGAAATCATCAGATAAATGTAACAAACGTTATTCCCTCCGCCTGACCTTAGACTCTTTATGAGTGGCCATCCGGAGGAAGGTCAGGAAAACCGCCTTGTGGATGGTGCGCTGCACGTCGGCCACCGCCGGCAACAGGGGCAGAGTGCCAAGGTCAAGGCCGCGCGGAGCCAGCTGCAGGTACGAGTCGAGGCACCGCAGCAGAGACTCGTCAAACACCACCTGGTGGGGACGGCACAGCGGTTACTCTGGACTCATTTAAACCGCAATAAATGGAACATCAACCAACATTTCTGATGTTTACTGATGATTTAATGATGGAGCTTGGCAAACTGTAACATCTGTTACTGGTTTTCACTGTGTGATGATCAATTATCCCAGAAGTTATTATAATAAATTATAACATTATTGGTTAACACTGGAATTGGAAGACATTTTAAATATTCAAAGTAAATAAAACAACAAAAACAATAAATAAAATTAACTATAAAGTTTCTGTAAACAAAATTATCCTTCAAAACAAGAGCTAGTTCAGACCAAAACACCAGACTGAAGACTTTTATCATCCAGTTAAGAGAGAAATGACAAATCAGGCAAATGGAAATTACTAAGCTCATTTTAATTTATCTTATGACTATTTGATTTATTGCTTATTGTGACAGGGACAGATGATAAATCCATAAACTTGACTTATTGACTAATCTCCAACGGTCGGAAGCGGCTTCGGTCCCGTACCTGACACCAGAACTTGTCGTGAGGCAGCGCCAGCAGCCACTCCAGGTCTTCTACTATAAACCTGGCATGCTCCAGAAACTCCTCCACCTCGGCCGGAGAGCCGTCTTCTGGGGGAGGTTTGTAAGGCACGAAGCAGCGCTCCTCCTTCCTGTCTGGGTGCTGGTGGAAAACACAACAAAGACTTTAAAGGGGCAGAATTATGTGTTTTCCAACCACATTGTGCCATTTTAATGCACAATCAACCAACTATGTTACCTATGTTATAACAAATATGACTTAAAAAAATTGCTTAATAATTAAACGCTTTGAAATTGGGCCTCTGTTTCTTTAAGAAGCTTCTCCTCTTTCTGAAACTCCGTCTTCAGGAAGTCATGTCAACATGGCTCCTCTATTAACCCTTTAACGTTTTTATCAGCGTTTCACTGAAAAGTCACTTCTATAATGAGTTCAGCAGAGGTGTTTGCTAATTGCTGCTGGCTAGTCTGAAGGAGCTGAGTGGGGGAGGATCTGCGACTAGAAGGAGGGGCTAGGTCCACCCAGGCATTTCGTGCTGCTGAATGGTTGCCATGGAGATTAAATTATTTCTCAAGCATGCATGAAAGAATCAAAGCAACACTCCAGGTATGTTTTTGATGAGGGAATAACATCATAACATGATGGAAAACTCAAAAACCTTCAAGAAAACTGTCAAAAATGCTGTTGGGGGTCAAATGTCATTCACACAAACATGAGAAACTGAACCAACCAGTGCAGGCAGAGTGCGCTCCTTTCCCGAAGAGCCCGACTCCGTCACCTGCTGCTCATCCAGCGGCACTCGAGCGCAGGCCATGGCTGCTCCTCTAAGGTTTACTCTGATCTGAAGGGAAACAGATTCTGGTGATGTTCTGGAACATTGACTGCATCTTCTGTTGAGAAACCAGTCTGGATGTGTAGTCAGAGCTTCACTGACACAAACTTCTTTCATAATTATAATTTCCATCCATAGTGTGCATCTGGATTCCCCCCTGGCTTCTTCTGGTGCAGAATTATAACACCTCTAACGTCAATCATATAAAAGTCGGATAAAATGCGACATGCAGACTGCAGACGCATTCGGGTATGTATCGGATTTAGTTCCGCTTATGGAAGAGGCGTAAATTTTATTTATTTCATTTTTTTTTTTTTTTGATGAAAAGATTGGAATTGGTCTGTTCAGACTCCTGTGAACAAGTTGGATATGGTCACATTTTGGACAAAATAACAAAAAACAAGCTGGATTTGGGTCACATTTACCTGCAGTGTGAAAACAGAGTTCTTTTAAAGTACACCTTTACCAACTGCAGCTGACTGTGAATTACTTTCTTTACACTAAATGAGAGGCAGATGGTTGCATTAACACACATTTTTTTCTCTGGTTGTTTCTAGAAGTCAAAACAGTAACATTGGCCTCCTAGTTCATGCTCATCTGACCTCAGTTTTCCTCAGAAAACATGAAATAAAACAATAACTCACCACCAGTTCTGATAAATTGAAAGAAAAATATTTTAAACACAGACTGAAACACTGTTTCATTTTGAATGTCTTTGCTTTGTTCTCGAAATTTATCCAGACATTGATGCATAAATTTACGCCAAATATTTATTTTTAAAATATTGTACACCATCCAACTGCTGTCTGTCAGACTAGCAGGCAGACAGACACAAATTTTTATGTAAACAAATGTGTCATGTTTTTTAAAGTCCTAAAGTCCTTACCTAATAGTAAACTTATATCATATCAAGATAAAAAAAGACACCTAAACTTACTCTGACTGAAACACGTACCTGTTAATTATCAACTTTTACTGTCATTTTGTTTAGTTTTAAATCTAAAAGCTGCTGCCATTTGAAGCTTCGCTAACCTGTTAAATAGCAGCTGCTAATCAATGAAGAAACGTTTTAACTAACCGGCTGCATTACCGGCGGTTCGGCCGTGACTCGGCGGAAATAACTGCCCGGAAACGAGGCTAAATGAAGCCGCTTACCTCTAAACACGACACTCTATAATTTAGTCAAGCCATCTCTACATAGTCGACACAGTTTTCATCAGTTTCTGTTTCCAAACGTCTCTCTCACAGACGTCTGCGCTGCGCTGGCCAGGAAATGACGCCGTCTGGTTTTCTATGATGCAACGTCTTTATCGCCCCCTGGTGGCTAACGGTAGAACAACTGCTGTTTCTGTGTTTTAAATCCGAAAATGTTTTTTCAGTCTTGTTTTTGTTTGTTTTAGCATAACACCGGATTTCATTTGTGAAAATGATCTATTTCCTTATTAGCGATATTAAATTGCGTGCTATTATTTATGGGTCCTTAAGAGATCCGTAATAATACAAATACTAATCGTTGGTTAACTCTCCAATAGTCGTCCAAAATGGTCGCTCATCCCGTTTTCAGTTTACAAACTGATGGACTCGTGAAGATTTTCTCCACATTTTATTCAAGTCGAAACTGTTTTATTTACTCCAAATGGAAGTTAAATGTTGTCATTGAAGTATCTTCAAAGAGTCGCTGTGGATGCTGATGTTGTCAAAGGATCTCCAGTAGCAGTCGGTCTTACAACGAATCTGAAAAGCCTCTGACTTAACACATGCTAAATATTGGCAAGCACTACCATTCCACTTTAAATTCTTATGTTTACCGATTACTAAACCTTTTTTATAAAATTTGTTTCACCTCAGTTAATTAGAATGCAAAATACCTTTTTAAACCAATTTCAAATAAAATTTTTCCCTTTTTCACTTAACTTATGGAAGAAAACATCAGACTTGAACCAAGACTCAATGAGGACAAAGACACATGACTTTCATAGAACATGTTTTATAAAAAGTTTGTCATGACAGAAAAGGCTAACAATAAACTAGATTGCATACAATACTTTGCAAATTAGCTTTTTATATGAGGGAGTGTTGGAATTGTTAAAATTCAGTAGATTTTCTTTAAATGATTGCAGATTCCTCAAATGGTTTAGAGTTCTTACACTCGTTTTCAGTATAGATTTAACATACAGCTCAAACATGTAATACAGCAAGTTTTCATGATCCGCCAACTCAGATCTTTAGTTTTATTACAAACAATAACGCAAAGACAAACAAAACAAAAACAGGAAACGTCACTGCTGCAATGGCTTGGAGTGTAAAGTATAAAATAAATATTCCATGGCTTTTACAAAAATATTAAATACTCCCACACACCATCAGTCCTTGTCAAACAGCGTTTTGACTAAAGTCCGAAGGGTTGGAGTCCCAGTTGACGGCGTCTTAATTAAAGTTCTACAGCTTTTTATTTCTCTTTCTCACTGTTTATGTTTTAATGATGTAAAGCCCCCCGGAAAACGTGTTAGAGTCCCAGTTAAACGTCGTTTAACTGAAGTCCCTTTTAGGACTGAAGTCCTAAAAGGGATGCAGGTTTTTGGTTGTTTTTTTTCAAAATCTCTTTCTCACCGTTTATTACATGCTGTTTTTATTTTAATTATGTGAAGCACTTTGAAATTCCTTGCTGCTGAAATGTGCTATACAAATAAAATTTGATTGATTGATTAGTCAACAGGGATTCTGCACTATATATTCAAATATCTCACCTTCACCATCCAGGAATTCATTTACGTTAATGTTCTACAGTTTTTTCAAATACTCAGAATGGACCTAAGGAACGGCGTGAAGGATTTGATCTCGGATCACTTTGGTTTTCCTGGATTTTTTAAATCTATTTCTAGGATATCGGAATATTTAAAGGGCCGGCGACGCACCAAACTGGGAGTCATTTTCTACAGCAATAGCATGTGTTCATTTTGAATAAAAGTAGATAATTTGTTGGGATGGTATCAGTTTGTTTCAATCACACCATGTGAGCTCAGGTGCTCAGCTGTGCTTCTGTCATGTGCGCAATTCATTTCTAAAGACGGCGGCTTTTTTCTGGACGGCAACTCTTCAGTTGGCAACTTTAGTGCCATTTCTCTGAAACTTGACTTTTCCTCCACAAAGAAACTTCTTGTTTTGTTCAACCAAGAAGTTCAAATTTGAGATAATTTGGTGTTTTTTTTTTTGTTTATTGTTTTTATTGCCTTGATTTAAATTTAATTGATTAGAAAAAGTTTTATCTGTTGCTTCTTCTCCAGGTTCAAATATTTATCAGAAAGTTATTTAATTTTTGGAGAAGTTCCAAATTAGCTAGTATTTTCTTTTAAATTCCTGGTGATTCATAACATAAACATTAATGGAATATATTTAATGTGCAACTTGACTGAGGATTGGGTGTCACTTATCACTGATCAATAAGTCGAGGAAGGTAAACACAGATATGATCATGAACTTGTAAAAACTGGAAAACCACAGAATACTTGAGGATAAAAATAAAAAAAAAAATAATAAAGCATGAGACCACAGACGCATCCTTGATTACACATAACGGAAAAAAAATAATCTAAAAAACAATTTGCAGCTTATATAAATGAAGGGCACAGATGGTAAACTGTAGAGAAATGCCACTGCATGGGCCTTTTGGAAAAAAAAGATGTTAAACATCATCTTCACAATGAAGGATCCATCACTGCATAAAGATGACAAAGAAGCGATAATGTTCCAGGATCATCGTGTAGCCCTTCACCGAACTTTTCTGTACTTTTTAAATGTTATAAAACTTTAAAGTATCACACAAAAACTGTTCAAATAGAAGGAATATTTCCACCTCAAAGTCCTTCAGGATTTGTGCTTTTTTGGTATTAATTGTGAAAGCATAAAAAAAAAAAAACAAACGTAAAATGTTCACAGCAGCTGTAATCTTCATCTGCTTTCACAAAGAATCACTGATATTTTTACCTGTATGAACTTTAACCGATCCCAGATCAGCGGAACATCGAGGACAAACAAGTACGAGGAAAACAACGAGACTTTGAAAAGGAAAATGTGGCTAAAGAAGAACTGGGTTGATGTTTTAAAACCGTCATAAGACAGGAAAAAAGTTCAAAGGTCATGAACTTTACTGCATGTCAGAGCTGCACAAAAGCAGTCAGTTCTTTTAAATACAGGACTGTGCGTTCCCGCCGCACAATCGGATCCCTGCAGCAGGACCGAGCAGAACTGGGCCCCGTTTCTGCCAGAGTCCGGCGCTAGCCCAGCTGGATCTGTCCTGAATATGTGGTGAGGAGGAGCATGATGGCGAAGCCCGTTAGGAGCCCCGCGTTCTGGATGCCGAAGGTGATGAGGAACCTGCTGCCACCTGCGTCCTCTTCCTCACGACTCACTTCGTTCATCTCTGGAAACTGAGACAGAAAAAAAAAATCTTAATCTTTAATGTAAATCAAAAAGACAAATACCATTCATAAAAATTAAAGAAATATTCATATTTAATATCAACACAAGGCAGTAAATAAGTAAGTTAGTTAGTTAGTTAGTTGGTTGGTCGGTTGATGGGTTGATTGATTGGTTGATTGATTGGTTGTCTGATAGAAAAATCTAAACAAACATTTTCCAATAATGTCTCAGCAAATCAACTCCAATGTCAAACCTTTCAATTAACAAATATGGGTTTGTTTACAGGATGTAAGATAACTAAATATTTAGTTTGAAGCTAAATATTAAGCTTGTGAACCAAACATTTAGCTTACTAACTAAATATTTAGTTAAATTTGCTATTTAATCTGAAGCTAAACATTTAGCTTGATAATCACATATTTAGTTAAGCTTGCTAAATAACTATTTAGTGTGAAGCTAAGCTAAACATTTAACTTGCTAACTACTGACTTAGTTAGCAAACTAAATGTTTAATATGAGGCTTAATATTTAGCCTGCTAATCAAATATTTAGTTTCCTAATCAGTTTAGCTTGACAACTGAATATTTAGTTTAAAGCAAAATGTTTAGCTTGCTAACAAAATACTTAGTTTTCTAAGTAAATATTTAGTTTGGAGCTAAATATTTAGGTTGAAAACTCAATAGTTAGTAAACTAAATATTTAGTTGCTTGCTGTCAAACTAGTTAACGTGCCAATTAATAAAATATTTAGCTTGCACTCCCAAGTTTTCTAGTGAAATATTTAGTTTGAAACTGTAACATGTATAAATGAATGAACATGCTCAAAATGACTGAAATGTGAACCCACATTTCTTTGCTTATTGCTGTTCGTTTTTGACTGTGTAACTTTACAAACGGCACCACATTTTCCCATAATGCAAAGCGGTAAGTGAGTCATAAATGGGCTAGTGGCCAGAAAGGCAGCAGAGGTAACCACCGAACATTTCACTTTTCTCCTGAACGCCTTCTACAAGCAGAATGTAGCGACACTTGATGTGGATTTCCAAGTCAGCTCACCATGTCTGCCAGAGCGATGTAGAGGAACATCCCTCCAGCCAGAGCGAAGATCCAGTTCGGAGAGAAACTGTTGCCAGCCAGGATCCCAAAGCCCATGCCCAGGTAGCAGCAGCAGGCTGACAGGAAGTTAAAGAACAGCGCCTGCTGGATGCTCATGCCGGCATTCAGGAGGATCACAAAGTCTCCTGCAGAGAAAGGAACAGCCATCATCAGCTGCTAACCATAATGTGGCGCAAATTGAAATTATAAAAATTAATTTGCTTAATGGAAACACGCCAATTTCGAAAAGGCTTGTGATTTTGGTAAAAGATTTTTTGCATTAGGTTGAGGTGTTTTCTTAGCCGCATCTAAAGTTGTGTGAACAAACTTATGATTTTAAATTTGATTTCTTATTTAATGAGAAATAATGTCGAAAAATTGTGATTTTTCGACATTAGCAGAATATCGGCAAACATTTTTGATGAAAACGCCGACAACAGATGGCAAAGCTTCACAGCTAGGAAGCGTCTGGTGGCTTTTAGTTTTCCAGACTCACCGAGTTCGTGCGGGAACTCCTCACAAAGAATGGCCACGGAGGTGCTGATGCCCTGGAAGACCGAGGCGGTGAAGGAGGCGCCGATAGCCAAGCCGTCGATGAAGTTGTGGAGGCCGTCGCTCAGCGTGATCATCCAGGCCAGCGTGCCGATGTCAGAGTAGGTCGTTCCTTTCAGCCAGTAGCAGCCGCCGCCTCGGCCGCCAGACCGCGCCGCCGCTGCGCTGTCCGGCCTCTCAGACTCCTGGAGAGACGGGAGCAGAGCTTGGTAACCAAACCGAAATGACTCTGGGATGGTTTAACAACTCATCCAGGAGGCAGCAAAAGCAACTCCTAAAGCTCTGAAGGCATCAGGTGAGGTCAGAGTTACTGATTTGGTAATAATATTAAAGAGAAAATGGCCTCCACTGTGGCGTTGCCAAAACATTAAAACCCGACTGAAATCAATTTAGTGTTTCTCAAAGTAGGAGCCTCAGAAAGCTGAAGTAGAAACAGAGAAGTATTTTTTAATTTTAAACTTTTCATCATAATTTTTGTTTTTGTTACTCAGGTTTTTTTCTCTCTAGAAACTGTAAGTTAAAATAATTCAACTCCTTTTCTGATGGGCTTCTAGTCAAATTCATTGAGCTGCTTTGCTCCTCAAGCAAGAAATCAAGATGTTTCTGACCAGTCAGACCAAAGGAAGCAACTTGTTTTAAAGATTGGACTGGGACTGTAGCAGCGTGACCTAAAAAAGGCCGTCTGTGAAACCCTCCAATGTGGCTGGATTAAAAGAAATTGCTCCACAGTGAGGTAAGATTCACCGCTACTTATTTGCAGCATACAGAGCTAGAATAGATCTGTGCTGTGTTACCTTTGCAGGAGGATTCAAACAGTTTGTAGTAAAGTAAAATAATTTGTCCTGTTTTACGTCCGATCCCCACCTGTGGCGCCTGTCCGGGGCTCAACATGAGCTCTCCCTCGCTGGCCTCGTCCACTTTCCCCTGCGCCAGGCCGCCGGCCTCTCCGTTCTGCTGCAGCTTCTCGCCCTCCTCGGCATCCCTGTCCGGGGCCGAGTAGTGATCTGCGCCGCTGTAGTGACTGTGGCCGTGGCTCTGGGTCGAGGAGGCAAAAACAAAACAACGATTAACGATGTCAAAAACAGCAAAAACTGATGAACAAGAACATTTAATAAACCCTCCATGTTTATGATAAAGATCCCAGAGCAACCAGAGAGAGAAATTTTTACCTATAAGTTGTACTCAACTGAGTCGCACTACTTCAACATGCTCTTACTCAAGTAGAAGTAAAAAGTACCCATCTAAGAAATAAAAAATATATATTATATTACGATATACATGACCTATACCAATAAATAATACATCTGATAGAATATTCAATGTTCGAAATACAGAATATTCTCTGAACTTCGATCCAGAGTGATTTGGTGAAATCAACTCACTCTCTCACTCTTTGGTTACCTAGCAACAACCTGCTGGGCAACAAACAGTTTCAAGTTCCTTCCAACTCCGGTTACCTAGCAACAACCAGTTGAGTAATTTTGCCACCTTTTGCCTCATAACTGCTTAAAAATAATAATAATTAAAAAAACAGCAGCACTGAGAGGAAACTGTGGATAAAAATGGCGGTCACCCTGCCAGATCGGCATTATTTCAGAGACTTGAAACAAAAATACTAACCAATCATTATATCAATTTATATAAAACGCTTATAAGTAAGAGTAAAAAAATACTTGTAAAACTAAATTATTTTCCAAAAAGTTACTTAAGTAAATGCAACTAGTTACAACCCAACCATATATAATCCCTCTAGGTTAAGAGTGTCCAAACTTTTTACTTAATGAGCCAAAACTGTCGACAATTGAGGGACACAAAAGATTGCTTTTTTATTACTTTTTATTTAAAAACTGTAAAGAATTGGCACAACTAACATAATATTTTAATACAGTAAAGAAGTCTGGTTTCCATAGAAAAGGGAGTTATAAGTTATTATAGATCTGAAAATTACGTAGTTTTGTCTTGTTTAAAAAAAAAATTACTATCTTAATGTCGATTGGTTTTTCTACACTGCAAAAACACAAAATCTTAGTATTTTTTGTGCAAAAATCTTAATACACTTTAAATAAGACAAAAATAATTAACAAGTAATTTTTCAGCAAGATATAGGAGCTTTTTTAAAGCCAATAATTTCTTAATATTGATGAAAAAAATGAAACACTAGTTCTAGTAGCATATTATTTATCTTATAGTGTAACTGGAAGCAACCACTAGATGGCGCAGCTGTTTCACAATTAACTCCTTTATTTTGTTCTCACAACATTTTGTGAATTAAATAAAACTGAATTTATTATCTTAGTCTCACAGTTTCAATCAGTTTAGTTTTTAAAGAGCAAAAATGGTCAGATTACAACAAGGCCACAAACCTGTAATAAATTATTTTGTTTGGGGTTAAAAAAAATTCTAATGTTGAGAAGAATCATGAAACAAGTCACCATTGAGCACTACTTAATATTTACAAGAAAAGCTCGTTTATTGGAAACAGAAAGAAGAAACCAAGTTAAATTTTGTTCATTTTATTTCTCTGCATTATGAGGAGCATTTTTACAAACAATGATTCATCTTCTCGAACTTTGACTGACGTGTAAAACGCCCTGTTTAAACAAAGGCAATGCAAACAGCCTGTAGAGATTCTGAACATCCTTTTTCATCACATCAGTTATTAGAGAGCAAACATCCCATCCTACCAGTCAAACCTGCTGCTGATTAGCAGAACAAGTTCAAGGTATTCACGCTGTGGCATGTCAGCTGGAAATACCAGTTGGAGCAAAAGTTTCGTCTGGTAGGGTTAGGGCTAGGGTTAAAATATGTGAAAATATATATAATAAAACTACAGAGCCTTACAAACTGATTCATATAACCTGACCTTTATTGACAATTTGTCTTATTATGGTCAAAATCTTTAGTGTGACAAAGGAACAAAAACTTTGAAGTTGGATTATGTAGAAACACTGAAGCAATGTTTAAAAATGTTTAATCAAGATAACTGCAAGATCTGTAATTAATCACAATTAATACAGAACTAAATATCAACAAAATAAGCAACATTTTGAGTTCAAAAAACCTTTTTGCTGCTAAATGATTGAATAAATACACACATAAGATCAACAAATACTTCTTTAGAAATGTGGGCTGTAGACGCTAACATTAGCGTTAGCTCCTGTGCATTGAGAAGCTATTTTAGGCTTGAGTAGCTTCCCTAGAAGGCTAACTCCTTTTAGCACAGCTTCAACAGTAATAGTCTTTTTCAGGGTCTCATCAGATCGTTTTCTGAAGCAAAATTAACATCCAGTGGGCCGAGAGAAACAGCTTTGTTATACGCTGTTGTTTGCATTGTTGTACCAGAAGCATGCAAATATAAAGGTTCCAGCTCGGGACTACTGTACATAAAAAATATATATATAAAAAAACAATAAATTGACTAAAATCTATGTAATTAAGTAAAATTATCAAGTTAGAATTTGGGTCTTACCCAAAATCTAAAGCCAAAATAGTTAAAAGTAGCTTGAAGTTGACAAATGTTAAAGTGTCAAATCTCAAAGAATGATGAATATTTGGGGACATGGCAGGCTGCAAACCTGGCTCAGTTTTTACAGGGTCAGTTGGGAAGAAAGACTCAATATTCAAGTAAAAACTGTGAGAGGTTAGTTAGTTAAAGGTTCATATAAGTCGAGTCTGCAAAGCGGTGCAGTAGGTGGCACTCTTACATTGTCATTGATACCCAATCTAGATTTTTTGTCAACATCAAACTAATGTGTGGGATTTAGCAAATAGAAACAATTTATCTCCTAATTTTAGTAAAACAAAAACATTTAGTTAGACTTAATCTCAAACAGCAAGAACAAAGAAAAAAGTCCTTTTTTATGAAGCGTATGTTCACTTCGGGACCAGTTTTGTCACATTTGAACCATCTTAGGTTGCAGTAGTTGGACAGAACAAAAGCAGTGTTAATATTAACTCACCCCTTGCTTTTGCTTAAGGAGAACCTTGAGAACTTTTTCTGTGAAGAAGAAGAGGTAGAAGCCTCCGAAAACCACGGCCGATTTGGATACGTAGAAGTCCACCATTGGGTCGAAACCGAAGGCCTAACGGACACAGAGAATAATCTGTTAGTTTGAGGAGATTATCAGGAGTGTATTCTGTAAACAGGAGTCAATACTGCTGTGTGTTTTGTTTAGGTTTATACAGTTATTGTGTTTCTGGTAAACTTTAGTGTGTTGAGGTTGCGTCTAGGTCAAAACTAGTTTATTTAATCATAAAATTAATTATGAATCTCTTTACAAGTCATTTTATTGGGCAGAAGTCCAATAAGAATCCAGTGTTACAAGACAGATTCAAAGCTCAGAGAGTCATTTACCTGGCGCCATTTGAGCTTAAAGGTGTTTTCAGATAATTCAAGGTACATGTATTCAAGGAGTTGCACAACTGCGTCTGCACAGTTGAGAAAATGTTTGACAGTATTTGAGTCTTAATCCCGCCCACTGAAAGTACTCTAATGCCGTACACTGTAATAGAAATTTCAGTTAAATCCATAATTATTCAGAGGCAGATATAAGTTTAAATTAAGCTTTAATTTTACTAACATGCTTTTTTTATATATATAACTGGAGGTGATTTTCCCATTATTGCAGTGTATGCCAATTTTAATCTGATTGATAATATGTGGGAGGAATTGAAGATTAGGGATAGAGCAATGGTAAATGTAACTGGGGCCTGCCCGACGTGTGCGCGTTACTTTGGACCCGAGTTCTGATGCTTAACATGTGACACGTCCGTGCAAGCCAGCAAGCTTGCACAGCTGGACTTGCCTTTGGTAAATATCAGGAGCACATCTGTGCAGTTTAATGACATGCTTGACATGGTCCACCACCAGAGTGGTGGTCCACCATAAGGACCTGGTTCCTTATGAACCAGGTCAGCCATAGCACTATAGTGCTGACCTGGTTCATTGCTACAGTGCAATGGCTGAACCTCATCCACAATGATATTCAGTCTGAGACTGACAACTATAAGCTATAATATAAGGTTCTCACTAACGGTGCGAAATAAATAAAAAGATAAATACAGTGGATAATTGTTTTTTTCTAGAAAATTTTCAACCTTCATACTAAGGATTTTAATTCACATTCAAAAATTCTGAGAAATAATAAATTTATGTAAGCAAAATATGACTAGTCACAGGAAATATGTATTCTTCCCACAATGGGAGACCTGTCTCTGCGCAGGTGCTATGGTAACTAACCATAGCACCTGCGGTGGCTCTCAGTATGGTAGAGAGTTTCTCTATCCTTATGAGACACCCAGTGTCGGTCTCAAGGACCCTGACAAAAAACCATAAGCCCTAGCAAAATTTTGAAAACATTTTACAGGAGCAGACATGTGTATCTATGTCATGACCGACTTTGAGATCAATAGGGTGATATTTGTGGCCGTGAGGGGGAGTTAAAAATAGTTTTGGAGTCAGAAATCCACTGTGCTGTGTGTGTGAATCAGAGAGAAAAATTCCTGACTCTGAGACGCTAAACCTTGTTTTTTGCTTGTTTTTCGCAATTTATTTCATTTTAACTCATAATCTCACTAAAAGTAAAAGCTCCCTTCTTTGGATCAAGCTGAACATTTTGATACCACTTTTGTGGGGATGCACGCAGCGGTACGAGCCGCATTAACGGTGATGGAAGAAAATAAATAAATCAAGATGTAAAGAGACCGCTTATTGGGTGTAGAACAGCAGGTTCTTGCCACGCATTGCATAGGCAGGCCCCAATAATCAAAACATGGAAGGAAACATACTAAACTCTGGTTTTAAATAAAAGGAAGGATTTGATTACTGTAATGCTAATACAGATTTGTTTTTTATTTTTAGAATAAAGTATGAATTAAAACATTTTTTTCCTTTCCTCTCAAAACAGTTTTAGAGGATGTCTGCTCACATTTTCTCTAGAAGCAAACATTTTAGTTGAAGGAAAAAATTTTAATCTAAATCTGCCAGATGTATGAGTAATTTCTGGCCCTACAATAGATTTTTGGCCTAAAGAAATAAACTACTTTTTAGGAATGTAAGGTGTCTTAGTTTTACTGGGCTTAACGCAGATTAGCAGCCTCATAATGCCAGCCCATTAAGGAGGCTTTAAAGCTTCACACAAAAGAGGATGAATTCAGAGGATTAGGCTTGCTTCCTCTGACATCTTCACTTAGCTTTTGTTTAATGTAAGCCAGTAAATAACTACAACAGGCTTTAAACTGGCCTTTAGCCTCCAATTCCATCCCCAAATAAAACGGTAAGAGTAAAATTTTAGCGCTTTATTGCATCATAACCGACACATCTTCGAACGGCGCGGTTCAGACGCTTGATCCGATCACACCCAGGCTCGGTTAAATACATGTGTGAACGTGCTAAAGGCAGATTGAAGATGGCATGGATCAGAACACCTTCAGAGATCTTCTAAGACATTTTTATCTGCACTAGTTTAGCTTAGCCGTCTGAATACAATCTGCTCTGAGCCTCGATGAAGCAATCTACCTGACCACTCACTGAACTCAGGACGCCCATAGGGCTCAATTATTAACTTGGTGAAGCTAACGCTAATTAGCATTTAAGTGATAATAAACGACAAAATGCTTCCTGACCGTCCACGCAGCCCCTCGACTGAATGAGCGCTGTTAGGATGATGTTTAAGGAGCTTGTTGGGTGTTTATTTCAAAATAGAACCGCAATAAATTCATTTTTTCCCACACGAGACTAGTATTGGACCGCTTATTTTCTCGTTCCGCCATCTTGTGTCAGCGGCGCCCTCTGCTGGATGGCGACCAAACAACAACACTACACCAAGTTCAAACGTACATTGTTAGTTAATAGATTGGAACTAATTTTAATCTAATAAACAATAGATATTTAGTCATAGTCGAATAATTGTTTGCATCCCTATTTGCAATAACTGGCAATGAGTCTTTAAATCAATGTGGGTGAATACTAATTAGTATTTTAGTAATTATTCTGACAATCTAAAAAAAGGCATATTCTGCAGATGTTTTATTTACCAACTTAATTTTTTTATACAATATTAAAATATACCAAAGTATGCAAATTAATACTTCAAATCCTTTTTAGATAGGAAAATAAATATTTTATTGCTTAAAATGTGATAAAAGCATTCCTTTTATAAACTCATGATCATTTGTAGCAAAGGATGTATCTGCAACTAAAACTTAATACAGTGTACGGCTGAGCACTTGATTTTTTAGGTTAACCAATTAATAACTGCGTAGTAAAAGGTGCTTAGTAGGAGATTTTATTTGATTTTTGCCAAATTTGAACCAGGTGTTTTTTGTTTTTCTTATTCTAAATTCAAAATGTATGTATATTTTGTACAGTTTTGATTTAATTACTGCCCAAAGTGCTATATTCTTTCAGTAAATGATCTTTTTTGAGTTTGTATACTCCAGTTAATGATTAATCGATTGCTAAATTAGTTGACGATCATTTCAATAATCGATTAATCATGATTAATCTGATTAATCGTTTCAGCCCTACTACATTCAATCAGTATTTCTATAAATTCATTGATGTAATCTACCTAAGTATTTTTGAGTCTAATGTGATTTAACCCTCATACTTTTTTTTTTGGTGATTAATTAATCTAAAACAATTACAAAAAGACATTCTTACAGTAGAAACTCAAGTAGAAAACAATAACTAACAGTAGTTGAAGCAGGATAAACCCAAGAAATTTTTAGGTGGATTAAATGATGTAAGATCAACACCGAGAATCTTTGTGGAGAAATGAGAAACAGCCCTGAGGTATGTAACTCTACCTCGGGGATGAGCTGAAACAGGGCGTTGGAGTACAGCGTGCCAATGGCCAGGGCTATGAAGTAGAGCAGCAGCCGCTTGTAAAAGGTTTTCTTCATGAAGGGCACCACGCTGGCCCCGATCAGTGAACACAGAGAGATCAGTGTCACACACAGGAGCCCATAACCCCAAACTGACCAATGGAGCAGAAAGGAAAGACAAAGATAGCCAGTTAGTGCAGTGATTATCTTATCTGATTGATTATCAGGGTAAAATCACCAAACAAAGATTCCTGTAGGAGAAAGAATTAAACAAGGAGCCCGTTATCCGGTGGGAATCTGCCCTGAGGATGATTATTTACCTTCCTGTGAGGCAGCATTTGAAACCAGTCCATTTCCTTCACAGAGGAAGTCATGACAGATACAGACCTTGTTCCAGGCTGCTCAGATATGACTGCAGATATGAGCAGCGTCACTGCTAACAAAGGACACCAAGCCAACTGCAGTGGAAATACTTCATGTATCTATGTGTGTTTTTTACTAGGGATGCACGATTTGTCGGCCTGAACATCAGCATCGGTCGATGTTTGTCTTTTTTTTTTTTACATATCGGTATGGATAATTAAAACTTTGCTGCCATTTGTAAAAAGAGAGTCCTTTTGTCACAGAATCGAAAGGTTTCGGAAATGTATATATTGCATTTAATATCAGTTATCGGTCATAACAGGAATATAAACATCGGATATTGATATCGGTCTACATTTTCAGACCGGTGCCTCCCTAGAAAACACTACATTTTTCTGTTTATATTGGGGCAAAATACAATTTATTTGGTCTTTCATGGATTAGTGAAAAACCAGACTGACTCTGATAAAGACCAGATCAATTTTAAGTGTATGTATTTTATGTATTTTATTTTGAATGTTAATGTAACATCTACACATAGATACAAAAAGCATGTCAAATGCCATGTAAGGTGAAGAAAAACCACCAACAAGAAACAAAAGCAGGAAGAGGAAAACCACCAACTAGAAACTGATCAAAGGTGAAACAACTCCCTCTTCAAAGAATGAAAGCCTTCAACATACTTTTCAACTTTTTTTGCTTTTGTTTGTGCTCTGAAAAGGTTTGGATGTGTAAAAAGGTGTAAAAGATGTACGAATACAGTCAGCTAGCAAACCTCAGGTATGAGCTGTAGGACGGCTGTGGAGAAGAGCGTGCCAATGGCCAGAGCGATGAAAAAGTTCAGCGCATGTTTCATGCAATTCGTCTTCATCAGAGGTACGATGGCAACTCCGGTGAGAGAGCAGACATTGATCACAGTCACGCTCAGAAAAGAAAAACCCCACACTGCACGTGGAATAAAGAGGAGCATTAAAACACTGGGAAAAACCAACTGAAATTACGTCTAGTTTTCAGAAATGTGTTTTAAAAAGTCCACTTTAAAAATGGTTTTGAATATTAGCTGTTGAACATAAAGGCT